CAGAAAAACCTTAAAATAAATACACAGAAACATGGATCATGACATTGACAACAATAAGTCAAAATTCTTACAAGAAATTTATCACAGTATATAATAAATTGTATGATAAATGCCCACCCCTAGATTAGCAACATATGATAAATTCAACTTAAACCAACATCTAAATCCTTGTTACTTTTAAATACTTAATATTGCTTCTTTTTGCTGTGACCTCCATTACAACTGTTCATGCTGTAGTATAAAATTAATAAGCTGTTAGAAATTATTTGACTCTGACTGATCCAGCTTTAAAAAATCAATTCAAAAGTTAATGAACTCACACATGAAACAATATGACAATATATATTTTTATGCAACGTGATAGATAACGCTTGAAGTTACCATGAACTTTTAAAAAGAAAAATTAAAACCTTTTTACTTTCTATTACAAAATATATCTAAACTTATGAAGCATTTTGAAAGAAGAAGAAGAAAAAAAAAAAACATGTTCCAGGAATAGTTTGATAAACTCTAAAGTCCTGAAAGCATCTCGCTGCTGACTTTTCCCTGAAGGGGATGAAAGCAGATACTCATAGGGAAAAAAAGATTCAGACAAACAAAATCCAAGTAAATGATTGCTACAAATTCACTTTAAGTGTCGACGTGAATAACCTTGTAATGGGTCAGGATATTAGGATGCTGTGCGTCACGTCGCTGGGGAGATAAATAGGAGACCCAGGATGGGCATCCCCAGCAACCACCTTCATTATGGTAGGTGGAGACTGAAACAGAGAGGCTTGTTTCGCATGCTTTCTGTGAGCGATTGTTGAAAACAGGCGCCCAAGGAGAATTTACTACTTGATTATTATCATTCGAAAATCAGCTGAAATGTGTTTTGATCGTATCCGTGTTGCTTAATTTTACTTTTGATGTTTTGTTTCTTTCTTCCAGAAGTTTTTAACCATCTCAACCGAGCTGATCATCCTCCTCTCCTCCTGGTTGGCGAACGGCGTCGCCTCCCAGCTGACCTACGAAGTCACCGACCCGATCACCGGCAACCCTCTGCTCTGTGACCGCTGCCCGCCGGGAACCTTCCTGCGCGCCAGCTGCTCCTCCATCAAAGAGAGGGAGTGCGCTCCGTGTCCACAGGGCTCCTTCACGGAGCTCTGGAACTACATCGGGAAATGTTTGCGCTGCGGAGTCTGCGGGCGGAACCAGGTGGTGAAGAAGGAATGCACCGCAAACAGCGACTGTCAGTGCGAGTGCAAACCGGGTTACTTCTACAGTCAGGACTACGACATGTGCGTCCGACACAGCGAGTGTCCCTCTGGGCAGGGAGTGCTCACCAAAGGTACGGTCACCTCTGAGAATGTCCGAGTTCTGCAAAATGTATGCAATTACAGGGAGACCAGGTGGTCCAGTGATAATTTAGAGGAACAAAATACACTGACATCACTTTGTGGAGTTGCAAAACAAACATCTAAACCAAAACAAGCACAATATGTGTGAAAGAAATATGTTGAAGGCTGTTATTTTAACGGTGATATTCTTAAATTCTTATTTTGTTCATTTGAACAAGTGATCAATCTCTATGTTTTCAACTCTCAGCTGCTGTTTCAAAGTGCAGCTAAGCAGATGAATATTTTTTATTGATAGGGGGCTGGATTGCAGAATCATGAAGAACATAAAACATGTCAAATTATTATTCAGGATTCCCACAACGGTGAAGTTTTTACCACTGTTACCTTTGGCTGTTTATGGAAGGGGATTCCATTCTTCCTTCAATATATAAATTAACTGAACTTAATTGTAAAATGAAGAATGAAAGATTTCTTGTTCACATTGTGCGATGCTGCCTCACTGAGGCAAATTATTGCAACTGCACTTCCAGTCTCTTCTCTTATTCACAAGCAAAGCAATGTGTGATCATTTCTCTGAATTCTGTCTGTTTGATATTTATGTCCTCCATTTCAAACATATAAAGTTTGATTAATGGAAATGCAAACGATAAATAAATTATTATTAATATTAAAACGTAATAAACATTACAATATTTTGATACTGCTTTAACTACATATTTGTGATAAATCGGGAAAAAAATGACTCACTTGCAGGAACAGCCGAGAAAGACACGGTGTGCAGCGTCTGCTCTGAAGGCACCTTCTCTGACATTTCCTCCACTCATCAAAACTGCACTCAGCACAAGAACTGCAGCGATGCAGGACTGCAGTTAGTGCTGAGAGGATCCTCCTGGCATGACAGTGTGTGTGCAAACTGTCAACAGCTCAAAGGTAAAAAAAAAAAGGCAAAACAAAGTTTAAGCAACAGGTGTTTTAATAACTGTATCAAGGAAAATAAAATCTGATAGATCATTCACATGAAATTGACATTGATGTTTTATTAATGTTGGAATTTCTAACTTGACTGTTTATTCATCAGTTTTTAAGAATGTTCTCAGTGGAGCTAAATTCTTGTTTGACTAAAAGTAGTTCTAACAACATGTTTCTTTTCAGATGGAGCCGAATACCTCAAAGAAATCATCCCATCTTTTTTCATTCACCACAAAATGAACATCAAACGGCTGCGACGAATTGTACACAGGCTCCCATCTGAGGACGGCAGAAAAGCAAGAGAGAAACGGGAGCTCAACTTCTCCGAACTCCATTCACGCATTTGCAGTTGGGTGTCATCGGCCACAGCGGCACAAATTCAGCAGCTTCCAGACATAGTGAATAAAATGGGAGCAACTGCTGCTAGCGAGAAGCTGCAGAGCAAGCTCAACAGCATTCAAACACATCTGACAGAGAGCTGTCATTCTGAGATCTTGAGTAATGATATCTTAAGTTAATCCATAACAATTTGACCCAGAAATATGAACTGTACCACATGCAGGACGTAAAGATGCTAGGGGGCATGAAATCCTGTGCTTAAAGCAACAACTATCTCAATAGTTTGTGTTTAAAATTACTGGGAAAAAACCAAGGAAATACCTAAAAAGTAGAAAACTGAGAAGTTTAAATATTTTAAAACAAACTGACACTCATTAACACTTCCCTGATATACCTCATGTGGAGGTTTAAACTTATGAAAAGAGCATTTAAGTAAATGAAGTACTTATAAATGCTCAAGGGTAATTTTGTTCTTCATTTTGCTAATTTTGCTTCATTTTCGGATTAGTTTTGGATAATTGGTAAATTGCATCCGATGCATCTGTTTTAGTCATAATATGTTCATGGAATTAACTGGAAACAATTCACATTTGGGGAAATAAAGCTTATAGAATGAAGTGTTATGTAAAGATTAGAAGAATGATCAAATTTCTAAGATAAAGCTGTCGGATTCAGAGACGTACTCCACCAAGGCATCTGCATTTAGAGAATTTAGCTCTAAGACAAAGTAACAGCCCACAAACAAAACCCAATCTATTTTTTTTTATATCCATTGCTGTACCGACATTCTTGTAAGTCAGAGATGTTTTACAGTTTCTTTTTATATATTTCCAGCATTTCTGCTTTTGGGGTGCACAGTTGATATTTATATTTTATTAGTTGTACATAATTGACATAGCCATTTACTTTACCTACCTGTTCATGTTCTGGGTTATGGACTAGGAATGCTTGTGTGGTGTATGTTCCCCCACCTGCTTTGTTTCTCATCTTGACTACTCCAAAGCGCTGGGATGCGACCAAGAGTCAAGCTTTTTTGTCATTTTTTTTACTGAGGTACTTGTAAGCCAGAGGGGGCAGATGTTTTACAGTTTATTTTTGTGTATTTCCAACTTTTCTGTTTTTTGAGTGCATTGCCTGTACAAGCTTGAGCTCTTTTGTGAGGATGATGTGGAATAGTTAAGTTAAGTCATAGAAACACTTGTCTTACTTTGCTCTACTTTTCACTATTTCTTTAGAATATTGGTCTTTAACTTTTTTATAATAAAACATAAGGAAAAGAGGTTGTTTTTTTTCTATGACTTTCTTTTTATGTGTATGAAAAAAACCTGCACTAACACTTGGGCAGCATGAAGTATCAGCTTGTTGTTTATATTTTTAAAATTCGTGGTAAGGAGTGAAGCAGCATCTGTGCTCCTTTTTCTATTGTATGTAAAAATGATCCTAATTTATATTTTCTATTTATATGAAGGAGGTAAAATATGAAGTCAGTAGAACTTTTTGTTTTTACTTTTGCTTTGTATATTCAATAAATATAATTTTACACTTCTGGTTGCTGGAAATTGCTGCTTTCAGTGGTACTTAATTTACTATAAACAAGTATTGCTATTGACATATTTTATACTTTTAATTTGTTTAATCTAACCATATTTTCCCCAAAACAAGATGCTATCTTGTATGTTCTGCTGATTGTAATGTTAGTCAAAAATCCACAGCAATAATTTGAGTTATTTAGCCTGTCATGAGATAAAAAAGGGTGTTCATTTTTCAAAGTCATATTTTCAATGTGATATTCATACATTGATAAATAGAATTTCTAATAAAGTATGTAAGTTACAATCTAAGTATTTAGTTAGCAAGCTAAATATCTAACTCCAAACTATATAATCAGGTTATAACTGAAATGGTTATGAAAAATTACGTTACCCAAAAGCATTTTTCATTTAATAATAATAATAATAATAATAATAATAATAATAATAATAATAATAATAATGACATAAGCAATAATGTACATATACAACTTACTATTTAAAACTATAAATTAACTATAGAACTATAATAAACTATGGGACCAGGCTGAACGGCTTCGTTTCAGATAGATTAGTATGTAAAAATTATATTTATATGGATGAGGTAAAATGTAAAATAAGTAAGACTTTTTATCAGGGGCAGGGGGTCATAATTTAGTTTTTATGTTAATTAATTTTCTGGTGGAAGATCAACCTCCCAGTCTCAAGTCTTTTACATCCTTAAACAGTTTTTGAAAGGATTATTTATTGTTTCTTGAATGGATGATTTTGAACCAATAACATAATAATCTGATCTTTCAATATATTCAAAAGCTTTTGTTGAACTGCAGTCATCTAAGTCGGGTGTGTTAAGGCGGGGTAACATCTAAAACATGCAGAGCAGTATGCCTCGAGAACCAAGAAGACAATATACTTTTTCTGTGTCCCTGCAAAAACACATTTGACCTCAAGAGGGCGTAATCCACCTCTGTATTTTATCAGTGATTACGGCAGAGGGAGTACAGAATTTGGCTTGGAGGACACTGGAAACATTTCCACATGAACACGTTTTCTACACCAACAAAACAGAAAACATTTTATCCAAAAGGTTAGAAAACTCTAAACTTTTCTTTTATTAAGAGTTCCTATAAGAATTTATTGTTTTCTAATTTGTTGTATGAAAATATTTTACGTTTAATTTATTGTGTGCTCTGGAGTGCCTTCATCTTGGTGATTTTGGCCCATGGCTATTGTGATGTTAATATTGCACTTACACAAATAAACATGTCACTTGCATGTGTTTTTGAGCAGACACATATTTGCACAGTTTCTAGAAAAAAGCTAAATTTTCATTAAGACTGTTATCACAATGTTAGTTTATTTTAATTAGTTTCAAAAGTAAAACTTAATGACTAAGCCAAATTAGGAAAAAGTATCTGTTTTTACATACTAAAACATGTATTCCAATAATCAGTAAAAAAAGGGCATAATGTCACCACTTTTTGTGCTTTTTTATAGTTCATGTCTTGCAATAAGTGTGATGTTAAAATGACTGACATTATTGTAATCTTAAACTCCTTGAAACTTTTACGACAGAACTCTTGATGAGGCAATTTAAAAATTGTGAAAATTTCCAGTCATTTTGGGCAAGTAAAAATATTATCTTGAATTTAAATCTGCAAAAGACATGACATGTTATGTAAGCATACAACCACTGCTGCCTTGCACATGCAGGAAAGGGATGGAGGTCATTGCTAAAGAGCTCAGCTGTTCAGAGTGCTCAAGCTAATCGTGTATTTAGATCATTTGAATGAAAAGTTGAGTGGAAGGAAAAATGTGGCTGAAAATTATGCACCACAGGCTTGAGATAATTGTGAAGCAAACCCGATTCAGAATTTTGGGAGAAATTCACAAGGTGTTTGCTGCAGCTGTTTTTACTACTCCAATAGTAGTAAAAACAGCTTTCAAGTTGTAAATGAAGGGCTCAGACTCTGATGAAAGAATGGTGCAGAATCTAATTTGTTTGAGGTCCAGTGTAAAGTTGGGACAAAGATCATGTCACCTCCTTTTGTTGGTGCTCTGTGTTTATCAAATCCAAAGTCAGTGCCTACATCCAGGATATTAGAGAGAACTCCATACTTCCCTCTGCTGAACAGCTTTATGAAGAGACCAATCTCAGCAACATCCAAGTGTTGAGGAAATAAACTGAACTAGCCTGGTAAAAACCAGCCGCTTGTACACTTTGCTTCCTACAGGTCTGGGCTGTCAGCTGTTGAGAAACAGTTGATTCCTGGAGGCGTGGACTGTGTTGAGGTTTTAAATTTTATTCAGTTGCTAATGTTTGTCAATGACGTGTGTAATGCTGCAGTTTGATGCCAAGAAGCTTACTGGAAATTGCCTGCGCTGCAAACAACCATCCGCCAATGCGAAGAGAGAAGTGCAGAATGGAACAAGCCGGTTGTTAATGTTAATTCAATATTTGGAAGTTTGATCAACACAGGCTGAACGGCTTCGTTCACAACCTCGGCTGCCATTGCTCAAACTGCAGGCGGACTGCAATTCTAAGGCAGCGCAGAAAATCAACAACACTCACGACTTCTCTTTCTGTTCGCTAAAGATATCTAAAAGACAATCCAAGTGAAGGGAAGAAAGCCCACATGCTGTTGGAAGCGGGAACGTTTTCGGAGCGAAATTTCACAGGAAGGCAATGACCAGGATAACACATAGAGGGACATATTTTTTCAAAGTAGGCAAACTTTTTAAATCCATTTTTGTCATTGGTCTTATGGTATGCTCTTCTAATTTTCTGCATTCAATTAACAGGACTCTTTAATAGCCAGCTTATTTAGCAATAGTCTTTTGTGACTTTCCCTCCTTGCCAAGGGAGTCATCCTTCCCATGATTATGTAGAAGAAATTATCACATTTTCTTAAAACAAATGTTTATTGGTCTCCTATCATTTTCTAAGAATCAGAATGTTGACACTTGTTAACAGTAAATTAGAATAGTCCAAATTATTAGAGGTAAATAAATAACTGAAATGAACAAACTCTTCTATTACCTTGTGATTTATTTAAAACCCTGATAAACAGAAGCTATGGTTCCCTCTGCTTAACAGCTTTATGAAGATACTAATCTCATATTCTAGAGCTTAAAAAGTTATACATCTATGTGCTGAAGACATATGGACATTTATTAGGGATGTTTTTCAAATCCTGTTATTGCTCTAATGGTATAGTATTTTAATTTTAAATTCACAGCTATCTAAGAGCCAGCTTCCTTAGCAATGACCTTTTATGGCTCCCTCTCCTTGTGCAGGGAGTCAGACTTCAAGTCAGCAGTTTTCCTCATGATAGTGTTGAAGACATCACATTGTCATGCATTTTGTTGGTCTTTTGTAATTTTCTAATGAACATAATTTTGCCATTGGTTAACATTAAAGTAGAATAATCCAATTTAAAAGAAGTAATTAGATAATTGATATTAACAAACTCTCCCATTATATTACCTTCTGATTGAAAGATGTGAGGTCTAGACAAAAATTTCCATCTGATCACACGGCATAAAAGCCTGAATTAAAAGATATATATAGCATCACCTGTGAACTATGGACAAAATAAATAAATAATCTACTCAGAATACACGTGAAATTTAGGCTGATGCAAATGTGTAAAGAGGAATTTCCCTGCTTCTATAAAAAGGTCATCTCACCAAATAAATAGAGCTGGGAAGCAGAGAGAACTTCATCTTCCTGACTGTCTGGTCCAGACCACCCTCATCATAATGGTATGTGAAGGCAGTGCTGAAGAAATGGGCTGTGCTCTCTTACGACAAGCGCATTTTATGCAGGCAGCATCTGGCAGAAACAGTTTTATACGATTTATTCTAAAAGTGCCCATATTTAGCTGTGATCATGTTGCTTCGGGTAAATTGTTTCTATCTCAAATTAAGTTTTGGTAAGTTTTACTTACTGACGTTTCTTCTTTTCTTTCCAGAAGGTTTTAATCCTCTCAACCGAGCTGCTCATCCTCCTCTCTGTGCGCTCCTGGTTGGCGAACGGCGTCGCCTCCCCGCTGACCTACGAAGTCACCGACCGGATCACCGGCAACCCTCTGCAGTGTGACCGCTGCCCGCCGGGAACCTTCCTGCGCGCCAGATGCTCCTCCACCAAAAAGAGCGAGTGCGCTCCGTGTCCACAGGGCTCCTTCACGGAGCTCTGGAACTACATCGGGAGATGTTTGCGCTGCGCAGTCTGCGGGCGGAACCAGGTGGTGAAGAAGGAATGCACCGCAAACAGCGACTGTCAGTGCGAGTGCAAACCGGGTTACTTCTACAGTCAGGACTACGACATGTGCGTCCGACACAGCGAGTGTCCCTCTGGGCAGGGAGTGCTCACCAAAGGTACAGCCACTCTACACTCTACGCTTCGTTTTCATTAAAAGTGCAGTTGTATTGATAGTTTTTATGTTTCACCTGCAGGTACACCAGAGAGAGACACAGTGTGCGGTAGGTGCTCTGTTGGGACCTTCTCTGATATTTCCTCCACGGATCAGATCTGCACACAGCACAAGAGCTGCAGCGCCGCAGGGCTGCAGTTGGTGCTGAAAGGCGCCATCTGGCATGACAACCTGTGTGCAAACTGCACAGAACTCAAAGGTAAAATGTTTCCCTTCAAGCCAGAAATTGGCTGGTTAATATCTGTAGCCTGTTATAAAGGGGTTCTTTAGTTGTGTGTTGGAGCACAGTTACTTTATCTGTCAGTCCCATCTATAAAGGTCAAGGTTCAGGACTAATGCTGCTCCCGTCAAGTATACTGACGGTGCATTTTAGCCAGTCAGATGTTTAAGTAATTTCATAAGTGCACTACAGCATAGGGAATATAAATTAATACCGAAATAGTTAATATTCTTTAACAAACGGTCTGTTTGAATATTTGATCATATAACTAGCTATTAAAACTAATTATAACAAAAATTAATTAGGAAGATAATCATTTTCTTTTTCGTTCATTTGCTTTCATTAAATAAAGTGTTGCCTTGTTGCTGAAATGTGCTACAGATATAACCTCACTTTCATTTATTTTAAAACAAATGTCTTTTTTTTGCATAAATTATTAGGTAACACTTTATTTGAAGGGGGGTGAATAAGACTGTCATGACACTGTCATAAACATGACATGCCAAGAAATCATTACTGATATAAATTTGTTATAAAAATATTACTGATTTCACTTTAAAAATTAGGTAACTTTTATGTTATTAAAGGTAAAGTTTAAACAGTAATGATTTCTTGGTTAATGTCAAGTTGTCATAACAAAGACATTTTGAATAATGTCAACTTTGTATTAAAAGTGTCATAATTTACCGAATGACGCTTTATGACAACAGTCATAAATATCCATGAAGACTTATTCATGTTCATGACAGGTGTTATGTCATGTTTATGACAGTGTCATGTCAGTCTTATTCAAACCCCTTCAAATAAAGTGTTACCAATTATTATGTATATATGTTTAGATTTTTTAATGGTCTGGGCTTCTATTAGCCCTCTATATTTAAACACTAAGTCACCAATATATCTTAAATACTTCCAATTCTCAGTAACTGAAAGTTATTTAAATCATTACTAACCACTGATTTATGACTCCTAAATGTTTTGTTTTACTTTCTACTTCCTGAAAGTAGAAAGTAAAACAGTCCTATTGTGTCTGTGTTGCTGGAGTGTGTCATAACGTCCCGACTGCCGGTCTCCTCTCTCTAGACGGAGCTGAATATCTCAAAGAAATCGTCCCCGCCTTCTTCATTCATCACAAAATAAAACTGAAACGGCTGCGTCGAGTGGTGAACAAGCTTCCATCTGACAACGTCAGAAAGCAGAAAGGAACTTTGGAGCTCAGCTTCTCAGAGCTTCACTCACGCATCAGCAGCTGGGTTTCATCTGCCACTCCGATGCAGATCCGGCAGCTTCCAGCCATTCTGATTAAACTGAGAGCATCTCACGCAGGAGAAAAACTTCAAAAGAAGCTGAATGGAATTGACAAAAATCTATTAATGCTGTGCCAGGAAATGATAGGGAGGTTGATTAAGATTAAACTTTGCTTAATTTAAATCAATTTTATTTTTCTTGCACATGGCATTTCAAATATTTCACAGGCTGCATTGTTATTATGGGACTTTTTTTTGTGTGTCATATCAACATGCTGTCTTACTTCTGTTTTTGTATGCTTTGACACTTTATGCCAAGTTAAAGAAAAAGTGGAGCTTTTAATTTAGTTTTTGGAGGTAAAATTTGCACTGAGGGGATCTAAAAGATGTTAAAGGGGCAGTATTATGTACAGTCAACATTTTTGAGATTTACTTCATGTTGTAATGTTCTTTCGTCATCAAAAATCATATCTGGATTGTTGCCTTAATTCTTTCATGTATGTTTGAGAAATCCTTTAATCTCCATACCAGTTGGGGCAAAATGTCTGGGTGGACCTAGCACCACCTTCGATACGCAGCTCCAAGGTGGAGCAGCAGTTTCCAAGCTTTTGCTTCACAGACCAGCTCTCCCCCACTGAGCTCCTTCAGACTAGCCAGAAGCAATTAGCAAACAACTTTCTTTCAAGTCATATTTCATCTACGCATCATTTTTATAACAACACAGTTACTTGATTGTGCTATAAAATGGCACTGTGCCTGGGAAATACATAATGCTGCCCCTTTAAATTCATTAAGTGTAAATGTTGAAAAGTTTCAGTCTACATTTATCTACCTCCCCTATTTATTTCTCCTAAAGAGAGGTTGAGCGCTTTTCACTTTTACTTACTGTATTTCAAAAGTATTACTTTGGTACGTCTTTTGTTGAAATTGTCAAAAGAGAGATAATAATTTATTTGAAGAAATATGCAAAATAGTTTTATTCTATAGAATTACTGTTGTTTTTTTAATATGGAATTCTGCTGCATACGTTGCTCAAATAAAAGCAAAACACGTATTCAGTGCTAATTCATCTTTTGTAACAATGACGGCTCCACCAACATCTTCAATCAGCACTCACATATCCAGAAAGTTTGAATTTTAGAGATTTCATGTGCAGCCATCCACAGGCCAAGAACTATATAAAACCTTCAATATAGTGTTTATTTAGAGTAGTTCCATGGTAAAACAAGATCATGACAGTAGAATGTATAAAACTCCAGTTACCGCCACATATACATTTTCTCTATCCATTCATCTAATGAAGCAACAGAAACATTGACCTAACCCAAATAGCAATGTGTGGTGTTTAAGATAAATCTTACTACATTCACTGTATATCATTAAATATTCATACCCTGTGAACATT